CTTGCCGAGCGGGGCTGGCACGGGGCCCTCCCTGGCCCCAGCCCAGCCTCCGGCGCGGGCTTCCCTTCGAGGAGAGCGGAGAATGGAGCGGGGGTCTCCCTCCCCTGGAGCTGGGCCTGTGGTCACTCACCCCCTTGCTTCCCTTGCCGTCGGTGCGTGTTCCTGCGGGGGGCCGTTTGGGGGGCCCGTCCTTCGGGCCCCGTTTTGTGCGCCTGAGGGGAGAGGAAGGGAACCTGCCCTGCCCGTGGTGGGGCTTGCAGCAGCGGCTGGTGGGCTTCCGCAAGGGAGGAAGGCAGCGGAGCCGGCTTTGGAAATAGTCCCGCCTTCTGCTGGAGAGGTGGGAGCCGAGCCTTGGCGGTGGGCCAGAGCTATGGGGAGACGTCCCGGGCCCCCCTCCTGCTCCGTCCATAATTCAACTCAAGGGGGTACAACGGAAGCGGCTCCTTTGCTTGCTGGCATCTCCATCCTGTTCCTGCTTTGCCTCTGTCAAACTTCATTCCTGGTGCAGTTAAGCTTCATAAAGTAGCAACTACCAGACGTGGGAAGTGTTTATGTGGGGATGAGTTAGTTGGACTTGCCATGCAGTGTGTTTGCTCTTGCAAGTAAATTCTTAAATACAGGTAGTCCTCGCTTAATGACTATTTAATGACAGTTCAAAGTTGCAGTGGCTTTGGAAAGGGTGCTTTACAGCACTTCCAGCCATCTTGAAATGTCACACACACGTGTGCACGTGGCTGCATTTCGGGCACTTGGCAACCGGCTCGCATTTACGACCGGTTGCCAAGTCCCCCACAATCACGTGATTGCCATTTGCAATCTTCTCTGCCAGTTTCCCCAGAAAGTCAGTGCAGGGAAGGTTGGAGGGAAACCTCTCAGCAGTGTGCAGACAGAGAGCTCAAGTCCTGAAGATTTGAGCTCCGTTGTTCCAGGAAGGGTTTGCCCTCCCCTCCATGGATGTGGGGGGGGGGGAATCCTGGCAGGTTTTAGGAACATTTGAGAGCAAAAGGTCTGCTTAAAAGCTAAAATCCTTCAGCAGGTATCTCTTTCACTCTGTCCACTTAATGACCTGGGAGATCGCTTAATGTCTGCAACCAGGAGTGCCTGGATTTTGGTCTTGAGTGAAGCAGTCACGTGGGTGTCTTGCTTAATGACCACTTTGCTCAACGATTGGGATTCTGGTCCCAATTTTGGTTGTTAGGCAAGGACTAACTGTACTTTGATCTTCACCCACTGCACATAAAGACTCAGAAGGTTTCCTAGCGGAAGAAAGGTGCCACTATTTTACTGTAGAATATGATAGTTTAATCCTGTGTGTGAACCACCACTTGAATTACTAATAATTGTAGATATGGTGGGTGTGAGTGGCTGGTTTTGACTCTTCCTCACTTTTTTTTTTGGTTCTGTTGTAGAATTGGAACTAAGATGCCTCCATGTGACCAGGACGTTCCCCCCTTGAGCAGAGGTTAGTCAGACTTTCTGGGAGACACTTGCCCGTATGTGTGTTGCAGGTTGTGCTGTGTTCTTGTCATCAGGTGGCAGAGAGAATCTGGCTACGTCTAAGCTCGGTGTTCTTTGGCCTGAGTGTCCAGAATGATTTGTAGCCTAACAAGCAGCCATCAGGTCCCTTCACTTTTTCCTGGTTGGTTTGCATGTGGCATTAAAGTTGTTACAAACTAAACCATTAATCAAGTGAAGCAGGAACTAGAGAGAATGGTCATGTCTGTTTTGATCAGCTGCCCTCCAAGGCCCCCAAGAGAGTGCTTGTTAATTTGGAAAGACCAGCAGAAAAGATTTAACCCCCGGAGCAGACTTTGATTCCTATGTACTGTAATATCCATGAACCTTGTGTGTAGAAAGCCAGTTCCCAAATAAAAGGATAAGTGTCTGGACAGCCACTTTATAACTAAGCTGTGTAACACCTGACACAGGTGGCTGATTCAGCCTCATGGGCATGTTCTACCTGAAAACCTGACTAGAATGGATCCAGATAATTAGTGTTATCCAGGGGTTCTGCTATTATATGGCCTCTGCCTTCAGGCTGATTTCTGTTCCCCAAGTCCAGCAAAAGAGCTGGGAATCATCTTATTCCAGATGACATCCCACAATTTTGTGTAGATGTAGAATAGCATGGGGACAAGATGTAGTAACCCTGTGGGACATTGTCAATCAGTGGCCTAGCTACTGAA